GGTGTGGTGATGGAGCAGGGTAGGGTGTGGTGATGGAGCAGAGTGTACTCACCTACTCAACTACTTGTATTCACCTAATTGTGAATGTGATTTCTGGCATGATTTCTGCAATGTGAGGTTTAGTTCCCATAGTCTCTTCTATTAGCTCATACCTGTCAGCCTTTGAATTTTCTAGTTAGTGCTGTGTTTGACTAGATACAGACTCCACACTGGAGCTGCATACTTCAGGATTGGTCTGACATGTGGTATACAAGGTTCTAAATGATTCCTTACACAAGTTTCTAAAGGCAACTCTTTATGTTGACCAACCTAGCATATGCCGCAGATAAAATCCTCTTGATGTGGGCTTCAGGGGAACAGGTCTGGCATGATTTCAACCCCTAGGTGTTTCTCTCTCCCTGATTCTTGAAAGATTTCATACCTCCCAAATGGTACCTTGTATCTGGTCTCCTATTCCCTACACTTGTCTTCATTACTTTACATTTGCTCAGGTTAAACTCTTAATAGCCATTTGTTGGACCATTCCTTCAGTTTATCCAAGTCATCTCGTAGCCTCATGCTGTCCTCCTTTGTATTAACCCTTCTCATAATTTTGGCATCATATCTTGAGGTTATCTTGGCCTTGAGATTTCAAGGCTTAGCGTCCCCGCAGCCCGGTCCTCGACCAAGCGTCCTTTTTGTTACACACCCCCAGGAAGCAGCCCGTAGCAGCTGTCTAACTTCCAGGTACCTATTTGCTGCTAGGTAACAGGGGCATCAGGGTGAAAGAATCTCTGCCCATTTGTTTCGGCCTCCATCGGGGATTGAACCCGGAACCTCAGGACTACGAATCCGAAGTGCTGGCCACTCAGTTGTCAGGCCCCCCTGATCATCAGTAAACATTGAGAATAATGAGTGGAAGACCTGTGGAAGATCATTTATGTTTATCAGAAACAGGATAGGTCTGAGTACAGAACCCTATGGGACTTTATTGGTAACATTGCGCCATTCTTTCCGCCCCATCACCACCCCATGTGGTGATGGGGCAGGGTAGGGTGTGGTAATGGGACAGGGTAGGGTGTGGTGATGGGGCAGAGTAGGGTGTGTGATGGGGCAGAATAGGGTGTGGTGATGAGACAGAGTAGGGTGTGTTGATGGGGTAGCATATGGTGTAGTGATGGAGCAGGGTAGGTAACATTTCATTCACCTGATGTCTCTGGAACCCTTCTTTATTGTAGCTAGCTCAGTACTGTAGTGCAGTTGATGGAATGACCATCTACCATGCAGGGGGTCGGGATGTAACGCCAACATTGAACCACATATTAGATGTCACCCTAACCCCCATTGGACTTTGAAGTAGCCATAGACGGCATGCCCATGCACCATGCACCACGCCCAGACTCGTGGAATTCTATATTTATTAAGAAGTGCAAAACACCACTTTAACCCTCAAACCGTGAGGGGTTCAAATGGCTTCAACACCCACAGGCGCAACAAAAAAAATAATCCAAAAAATTCTTTTGTCTTATAAAAGTGTTCATTTGTGTTCCCTGATCACAGAAAAAATAACAAAAAAATCGTAGGTGTCATATTTTAGCCGCAATAGGGTAGGGAAGTCTAGCAAAAAAGGGGTGTTGACCTTTGCCAGACAAGGTCTACTCCGCCCGAGCTGTCAAGTGGCAGTTGCCACAAATATATTATTACTTAATTATTTCAATGTCTCTGATTTATTTTTTCTTAGTTTTTTGCAGTAATATTATTCAATAGTGTGTATTGTGATATATTTATATAATAAAATGGGTGAACCATCACTGTCCTCAAAATTATGGTGTGCATATTAGTGATTCAATTATTATGTTCATAAAACAATAAACAAATAGTTTTGCTGTTATAACACTATATACATAGGTAATATATAAGTATCTGCATGTTTTGCTCACCCATAACGAACCACTAAGTTGGTATTGTGAGTCAAAATGCAACGAGGAGTGACCGCCAGACACTCGCTGCTATTCCCTCCCTCTCTTAATGAAGCAACCGTACGAGTCATAAATACTCATACACCGCCCAAGTAAAACAGAAACAAGCAACACTTAGTGGGCCAGCCAGAGGCTTAGGGCCCGTGCAGGAATATCCCTGCAAAAAAAAAAAAAAAAAACTCCCTCAGCAACATCACTCGCCCTCATTCTCCTCCCACAATACTGGTTTTGCATTTATTCACTATACACTGATGTTATATATAAGTATTTACATTTTTTTTTTTTTTTTTACCATAACTGTACATCTAAGCTTGTATGGTGAGTAAAGGCAATAAGACATAGCCACTCACACAGTCAGCTGGTAGTGGCCGCCTTCAAGGCCAGACGCACTATTATTTGTCCTCCAACAATATTGTTTGTGGTGTTATTACTCTATATACACACATTATATATAAGTATCTACCTGTTTTATTCACCATACCTGTACAAATAAGCTGGTATGGTGCCCAAAGACTATACTGGCCACCAGTAAACAACATGACAAGTCGTGCAGACGATGCACCTCCCTCATCAAAATGGCAACCCCCAACCTATTCCTATTGCTGTTATTACACTCTATACACATGTTATATATAAGTATCTACATTTGTGTTCACCATAGCGAACCACTAAGCTGGTATGGTGAGTGCAGTCAATAAAAGGTGGTCACACACAGTCAGAAGACAATGCTACTACCCTCTCTCCCACAGCATTACTCCACCCTCCATGGAGCACAGCGCTAAATACCACTACAATCCTGCTATTATCAGAATCCTGGTCAGTTTTATCACAGTCAGGGGTCTTCTGTAATACTATCATCGCTAAATAATAGCACGAACATATATATTTTGACATTTTTAGGCGATGCTGTGGTCACAAGCTAAACAGCAGTGCTGTGCGCTCATAGTGCGTGCATCAGCCTTGATGGCTCGCTCAATACTGAAACGCTCACATTCAGGAATGTTGGCCATGATTTTTTTTCTAGGTGGCGTCTGTCAACTATCGGTCATGGCTGCACTATAGCTGCCCCTATCCCATGCAGGGTGTTTAAATTAAGGCACTAAACACTAAAACAGATATTAATGTATTGCGCAGTTTTGGTTTTGTTACTGAAATCATCTATATATGTATTGCGCGGTTTAAGGGTTTACAAGCCCTAAACATCTTTTAGAGATGAAGCGTAGATACTGGCATCATCCCTAACATATTTGAAACAGGGGAGATCACGCCACTTCACAAAGGAGGTAATAAAGCAGGTGCAAAAAATTATAGCCCTAAAGCTCAAATTTCACACACATCATAAAAATCTTTGAAAGAGTGCTAAGAAGTAAGATTATAAATCCCATGGAATCACAACATCTACATAACCCTGGACAACACGGGTTCAGAACACGGTGCTCCTGCCTTTCTCAGTTACTGCTAGGTTACTGCACTAACACCATGGTCACATTTGTCAAAAGCGTTTGCAAAGTCTGTGTATATTTCATCTGCATTTTGCTTGTCTTCCATGGCACCTAAGGCCATGTCATAGTGATCTATGACATGGATCACTATGACATGGCCTTAGGTGCAATGGAAGACAAGCAAAAGGCAGATGAAATATACACAGACTTTGCAAAAGCTTTTGACAAATGTGACCATGGTGTTATTGTGCACGAAATGCATGCAAAAGGAATTACAGGCAAAGTAGGGAGATGGATCTTCAACTTCCTAACGAACAGAATGCAGAGTGTAATAGTCAACGCAGTAAAATCTGGATCATCTACTGTGAAAAGCTCAGAACCCCAAGGTACCATACTTGCTCCGATACTTTTTCTCTTTCTAATATCAAACTTAGACAAGGATACAAACTACAGCACTGTATCATCATTTGCAGATGACACTAGGATATTCAAGTGAGTAGACAATATAGAGGACACGGCAAACCTCCAATCGGATGTAAATCAGGTCTTTCAATGGGCCACAATAATTAGATGTTTAATGAAAATAAGTTCCAGCTCCTGCGTTATGGCAAAAATTAAAATTTAAAAATGGAAACCATATATAAAACAAAATCAAATCACAATATAGAATAAAAAAAAACAATGTAAAGGACCTAGGAGTAATCATGTCAGAAGACCTTACCTTTACAGAACACCATAAAGTAGCTGTCACGACTGCAAGAAAAATGACAGGTTGGATAACAAGGACCTTCCAAACAAGGGATGCCATACCAATGATGCTAATTTTTAAGACTCTAGAGCTCTCGATGGTGGAATATTGTTGCACTCTAACAGCCCCATTCAGAGCCGGAGAAATTGCTGACTTGGAGAGCGCATCCACTCTATAAGTCATCTTAATTATTGGGACATTAAAAGTTCTAAATCTGAATTTTCTCAAGCGAAGGCAAGAGAGATACATAATCTACACGTGGAAGATATTAGAGGGACGTTCCAAATCTGAACACAGAAATAACACCACATGAGACCAGTAGGCATCGCAGTACAGAATACCCCCGCGTTAAATAGCAGGGGTGCAATAAGTATGCTGAGGGAGAACTCTATCAACATCAAAGGCCCAAGACTTTTCAACACACTCCCGCTACATTTAATAAGGAGCACAACTGGCTGGCCTCTCACAGTGTTCAAGACAGAACTCTACTAACTTCTCCAAAGAATACCTGATCAACAAGGCTGTGATACACACGTCAGGCTGCAAGCAGCTGCATCCAACAGCCTGGTTGACCAGACGGCCAACCAGGAGGTCAGGTCGGAAACCAGGGCACGGAGCCACTGATTCCTGAAAGCTACACAAGGTATACACAAGGTAAGGTAAGTTAGGGTGTTCGAAGCTCATTTTGCCCAGGTGAATGAAATGCTATTATCCTCAGTAGTTTGTGTTGACAAATTTTTATGTTTAAGGTAATGTTAGATTTAGCTCTGTAATAGGATTATTTATGTCTTGTGATAAACTGTTTTATTGAAGTACTGTAGTGTGAAGAGTATTTTTATGTGCTTTGTACAGGGTGGACGGTGTGTACATGGACTTTGCCGTGCCTGCTGCAGAGTCAAGTGCTACACCGAAGGCCTCGACTGCCCTGGCCACCGTATACTTGTTAAGACCAAGCGAGAGAAGGCAGCTATATACTATGCACAGTTGAAGTTGAAGCAAGAGGAGCATCAGGGAAAAGAGAGGGTAATATGGCGATCAGTAGCAGACAAGCTGCAGTTTCTTCCAGAAGAATCAGAAGTATCTGTGACCCAGGGATGCCTTCCTCAGGAGCAGACATGCGCTACCTCACACCTGTCTGCACAATCTTTGCAGCACTTATCCGCAGCAAATAGTGATGAAGGTGTAATTCTAGAGATAAGTGCAGTAAATGACATTGAAAAAATCACCAGTGAAGATGAAGTTAATAAATGTACCTCAGTGTGTGACAAGATAACGAAAGATATTCAAGGAAATCTTTCATGTTACAATCAGGCTCATGACACCACTCATCATAGTTATAACCGTAAATCAAATTCTGCAACTTGACAGTATTTTTCTTCACAGTACAAAGCTTATTTGTATATTTGTTTTTTAAACAACTAAAGTTTAAAACTTG